GGGGCATGTTAGAACGAGCCGTTTTAGGTAGGTGTGGTTGACTCTTACATTTTATAAAGAATATCTCTTTGGATTTGAGACTTTAGTCTTTGCAACTTTACAGATCTTCTTTATGCACCAAGAGCTTGTAACACTCCAAAGAGAAAGAAAAAATTTAAATCGCATCATATGACCCTTAAAAATGTCTTCACCTCACAGAATCTATCACGTTATGTTAAAGGCAGGGTAGGTGATTTGGTTCAAAAACATTTTTTGTTATGCTGGTTGAAAGTCTCTTCACATCCTGTTAGCAATCACTAAGTTAAGTGCTCTAAATGTATTTATGAGTATTTATATCATCTGTGGAAGGTGTAGGAAAAAAAATTGTTCGTCTAATCATATCCCTCGGTCCAAGGATTATGGTAGGCTGTCCTACCTGCCTGTCAATGTATGTATTTGCATGCCTCCACGCACCCAGTTCACACTGCCCTTAAGTATAGTAAATCACGTTAATGATTTTTAATGCTAATGACGCTGTTCTGAATGTTTGCTTGTGCATTTCTATGCAATTAATAGCATGTTTAGTTGCTCAGAAAAATAACTGCATGCTTCTCTGCATTATTTTGCGCTATTCATGCCTATAGCAGAAACAGTGTGAGGTGAGTTAAACACCAAGGTATTATGCTAACGGGTTTAGGTTAGCTGTGCACTTTAGCAAACATAGCTAATTAAACGTGTACTAACCTTTGTTGTAGTACTGGTACACTGTGACAGTGGAGGGCTGAAGGAGTCCCACTTTAAATTTCTGATGCAGTCTGAATGAGATCACGTCCATCTGAGTACTGGACACCTGTCCGGGACATTCAGACAAAGTCAAATATTCAACGCCGCCTTAATATACATCCTGTATAAACGATAACATTGGTTGTTAGGTTACCTTAAACAGGTGAATTATGAGGGATCCTCTGTCGCTCAGGTTGTCCACCACTTGGAAGTTGTTGATGTAGCGATCCACCGAATTTGTGAGCTAGAAAATCACACAAGACATTATCACTTCTATAACAAGATGCCTTGCTTCATACTATTTATGTAGGTAGCTGCCTACATAGTAAGCCTCCTAACTATCAAAGTGTCAGATTGCACTTTTTATAGTCAGCAATTCTGTGCACCACACAAACTCAACTCACATCTGATTCCAATAGAGTTTGATGTTAGCATGTTGCTAAGCTAAAAGTGCAATATACAACATAAAAATACAAAGCACAAAAAATGTTGGGTAGAAAAGTCCACTGGTAATGAAACACGAAACATGCATTATAATATTTATGATCAACATTATAATCGACTTTTTTCTCAATTTACACCATCTTGGAAGTAGCTTGTCGCAATGCATTATGGAAATTCTCCATGACAGATACATGCAATGCTGCTTAATCTGGCCAAAATTAAACCTAAAATTAGATGTTTGGAGTGGACCTGTATGCCTTAAAATGCTGTCCAGGTAGGCTACAAAACAGTTAGCTACAGAATTAGCTAATGTAGTGCCACAATATGTCATGAGATTGGTCTTACCAACTCTAAATCTGAGTTTTCAGGCTCAAAGCCGGTGGGCAGGCTTATGTCCAGAATTGACATCCTTACTTGGCGTCCCTCCAGAGCCCTTGGGGGTGCAAAGCAGTGAATTATGGGTACCGAACCAGTTTATTTAGCTATCTTAAAAAAAATCTACCTATAACTGCTTACCTCACGTTGATACTAAGTCTGTATGACTTTTCTACATCCGGTGGGGGTTTTTCTAAATGGATCAAAGAGTGATACTGTAAAATTACATGTACATGTCCCAATACATAAAGTTTCTACTGTATACAATAAGGATTTTACCGTAGCATTTTTACAGTCTTTTACTGTTAAAACACATAAAACAGAGTTGAGAACGCACCATTAGTCTCAGCGATGGAGACGTCCAGCTGAAAGCCGTTACATGTGCTGTTCTCATACACATCAGGAAGCTGGTGGTACACTGTCACTACCTGGGATTCATAAAACGTGACAGAGAAAGTTTTGTAACTAAATTACGTCTTGATTTTATATTCTAATTCAATACTTTGATGTAGATGTGGGCATGTAGCACCTCCAAAACTCCCTTGCCCTTCCCAGAAGCCTCCACTCTGAATTTCTGGTCAAGAGGCACCTGGAAGAGATAATAATATTGAGTTACTGTATTTCACTCCAAACTTCCTTTCTTTTAATCTAGCATTATTATACTGCCAAATGCCAAAAGTGCATTTCTGTAATACAACAATACATCCATGTAAAATCAGCATGAATCTCTCAGCTCACATGCATATGTTCCTTAGTTCTTGCTTTACAACATTAAATACGTAAATATTACACCAGCTATGTTTTATTTTTCATTGTTTTGAAAAAGGCAGTTGCTAACAAGTGGCTAAGTTAGACTAAAGAGGTTTTCTGGACATTAAACTGTGTTTATAATCACACTTTTGCAAACTATTCTAACTCAAACTTTCAGGAAAATGTTTTTACAGTAAAGGGGACATTGAATGCAAAATTAACTTTTACATGGTGTTTGCATATAAATGTGTCTTAGCAGTGTGTGGACACAACCACCCTACAATGATAAAAAATCCATTCACTACTTTTTTTAATCCCCAAAACACCTAAACACAGTCTCAATAATCAAGCCGTTCTGATTTCCTGAGCAGAGTGACATCATATTGCTCAGGCCCCGCCCATGACCTCTGACATGACCTCTACGGGACTGTCCCGTATTAGCATATTTCCGCCCACAGCCAGTTGCACACTGTCCTCCATTTTCTCTGCGCTTGAGCAGTTGCAGCGACAACAATGTCTCCTAAGCAATGCAGGTGTTTTGTAGTTAGACGTAAAAGTGAACATAAGAGTCTTCATTTTCTCCCAACATCAAAGCCACTGAGGACGCAGTGGATTAGTTTTAATTTTGAGGGAAATGCGCCACCGAATACACCTAAATTTGTTTATGTCTAAAAAAAATATTTTACTCCAGACTGCTTTCTGAACGAGGGACAATTTAAGGCAGGTTTTGCTAAAAAGTTAACTCAAGGATGGATCAATACCCATTGTTCATGATCCAGCTGCAACTCCAGAAGAAGTAAGTCTCACACTTTATATTTTTAATGATTATTTACAAATCATCGTTCCTCTTCCACGGAAGAGAGGGGCAGGGTGAACAGAGTTCATTAGCATTTAAAGAGACATGCACCGAAACGGGTCACTGTGAACAGAGCTATTTTTGACAAGGTAAAAAGGGTGTTGTTTTACATGACTAGGGATGTAACGATTAACCGTGAGCCGGTTGAAAATCGATTCAAATATGTCACGATTCAAATCGCTTGAGATGCCAAACAAATCGCGATACAATTGGAGTAGGAGTTTATATGAATGTATCTCTGAGGGGAACTGACTATCTTTAAAAGGTTTACGTGGTATTTTCTTTTAATTTTGCCTCTCAATGATGCATATTAAAGTAGTGTTCATAAGCGCAGCTCTGCTTTGTTTACAGCTGTAACCCAGGAAACACTGTATCATTGCTGTTCAAAAGCGCCACCTGCTGTCAGAGAGTGAATCTGCTACAGTCTAATTTAGATTAAAAACTGCTCATGCCGCACGCTCATTTTGTAAAAAAAAATCGTGAGAAAATCGAATTGTGAAATCAAAAACGTGAATTGAATCGAATCGTGAGTTGAGTGAATCGTTACATCCCTATACATGACCACTAAGGAATTTTAACCTAAGTATGTTGCAGACGTTTCGTGAAGAGTGAAGACCCTAAAGAATCATACCAACTAAATAAAGATTGAAAGAGTTGTTGAAGCTTAATGTTGGTGACATTGATGTCATGATCATGGAGTCACTTTTTACTTCTGGCGACTGTATTTAGGTTTCACAAGTCATAAAAGCTTGTTTATTTGTAAAGGTTATCATGATGAGACAAAAAGTGTAAGAATAAAAGAGCCATTTTCTTCAATAATTCAAAAGTCAAAGGGAAGCAGAGAGATGTGACTTCTGGTCTACAAAGAATCACTGCAGCTCTCTATTCATGTTCACTCTTAACCAATAAGTTTTCATGTAGCATTTGTCAGTTGTGGAAGCCTATTCTGATTGGTTGACACACACTATCTGACCCAGATAATTCCATAAAAGAGCTCTGTATATTTAAGAACAAATGTCCAGTTTCATGCAAGAGTGAAGGAAATTCGGACTCATATATTACATGACTGTAATTTTGCATCACAATAATGCATTTTTAACATTTGGCAGTATATTGCCATATTTGTCTACAAAAGAAAGTTTTGAAAGACTGGAGATCGCACCCGTGAAGATCGGGCCACATATGCCACTTTTGGATTGAAAGTCCAGCGTACGTCACTGCGACCGGGAACACTGAGCTGCACCAACAGATTGAGGTCATGAGGAGGAGGCCTCTTCACCAGGTACTCAGACAGGGCCTGTAGCACCACCATAGTGGACTGATGGGGAAAAAACAGCCATTATATGAATACAAATGTACCTCAAATACAAGAATAAGACAATTAGCAAAGGTTTTCTTGTGTTTTTTACCTGTGTAGAGCCGTATCCTCCCCCAATGCCACGCTTCTCGTTAAGCCATCGAAAGGGGGCGGCTGCCTCTTCCATGTGGCCACCTTTGATCAGCGCTAACAATGCATAGCCAGTAGCTTCCAGCATGAAGAAATAATTACTAGAGTCAGGCCAGTGGGTACGATCTGTTGATAGAAAATAAAGATTAGAAAAACAAGAGCACACGCAGCAAGATATTTTTTTGTTTCAAAGGCTAAGTACCAGGTGAGGCTAAATTTAGTAACATGCTCTTCATGCAGCCGTGGTTGGATACTGCTAAAGCGTAGCATGCTATAGCTGCTGTGTACGGCCTCGTCAGTCGGGGGAAATGCCCTCTTAGATACAGCGCTGCTCTTCTAGACTTGTCCTGCAATAAAAGTAGAAACAATTTACAATTAGCACCACTGAACATGTAAAAACATATGTTATTAAATTTCAGTTTTCTGGTGGGCCCGGAAGTATGACATGAATCAGTGTTGTACCTTTGACTATTGACTGATTGAAGTTTTTTTTAATAAAAAAAAAAAATCTTTTTTTTTTTTTTTTTTTTTACTTTTTTGAATTAAAAACAGTGGGGAAAAAACTGGGGTTATATACTTCAGGAACTCAAGATGCTGAATAAGTTTCTGCTCTTCCTATTTCTGTTTTCTGACTGGTGGAGGTCCCTTCAGGATTGTGGGGAGTGTACATTTAATGGGAAACATTTTCTTTGTAAAAAATCATCATATTTTATTTTTCGGAGTGTCTATTTACATTAAGTGTAAATTGTCCACCTTGTTGGCAGAGACTATTTACAATAACTCCGCCCACTAACATGTGATTTGGCTAGTCAACACTACAAAAGACAATTGCTTAACAACAGCTCTAGTGGTGTAGATGGTAAAGCATGTGCCATAGTCTCGGTTCGAATCCACCTTTTGCCAAACTTTTTTTTCTCCCTTTTCTAATCTCACATCACATCGGAAAGGCATTTATTTTCAATAAAAATTAAGGAAATAATCGAAAAGTTGAAAATAAAGTATCTGGTAGGGTTAGGGTGGGTGTAGGGAGAGCTTTATTTTCCCAACGAGGTGGCATCCATTCAACAATTTGAATTAAAATTATAATTTACACTCAAAACATTATTATTGTCACGATATGCTACTGTGTTGGAGCGAGGAAACGCGGAGACGTGGGAGAATTTCACGATGAACAGACTTTATTGAGACAGGACACAGGGGCAGTCCAAGGGCGTGACAATACCTCCCCCTCCCGGAAGGCGCATCCATGCGCCTCATAACATCCAACGGGGAGGGGGGGTGGGTGCTCTGGAGGCCTCTAGGGACAGGCTTAACACGGGACGGTAGGCCTCCAGGGCGGTACTTGTTCCGGGACCCATGGCGGATCAGGCAGTTCAGGGAGCCATGGCGAAGTGGGTAGTTCAAGGGGCCATGGCGGAGCAGGTAGACTAGGGAGTCATGGCGGAGCCCTCTCTGGGCTGGACGTGGGAACAGGAGCCCTCTCTGGGCTTAGCTTGGGGAGAGGAGACCTCTCTGGGCTAAACGTGGGAACAGGAGCCCTCACTGGGCTGGACTTGGGAACAGGAGCCCTCTCTGGGCTGGACGTGGAAACAGGAGCCCTCTCTGGGCTGGGCATAGGTGCAGGAGCCCTCTCTGTGCTTAACTTGGGAATAGGAGCCCCCTCTGGGCTGGACGTGGGAACAGGAGCCCTCTCTGGGCTGGACGTGGAAACAGGAGCCCTCTCTGGGCTGGGCATAGGTGCAGGAGCCCTCTCTGTGCTTAACTTGGGAATAGGAGCCCCCTCTGGGCTGGACGTGGGAACAGGTGCCCTCTCTGGGCTGGGCATAGGTGCAGGAGCCCTCTCTGGGCTGGGCATAGGTGCAGGAGCCCTCTCTGGGCTTAACTTGGGAACAGAGTCCTTTTCTGGGCTTGACTTGGGAACTGGAGCCCTCTCTGTGCTAAACTCAGGAGCTGGAGCCCACACTGGAGCGGACTCAGGGGCTGGAGCCGACACTGGAGCGGACTCAGGGGCTGGAGCCCACAGTCTCTTCCTCCACATTCTCCTCTTTTGGGCAGAGGTGAAGGAGAATACTGCTGTCATCCTAGGGCTTGGAAGTGAATCGGCCAGCGGGCCTGACAATGGAACGGCCAGCGGACCTGACAATGGAACTGCCGGCAGACTTGACAATGGAACGGCCGGCGGGCTTGACGCAGAGCTGGTTCTGGATCGGGGCCGGACGCTCTCCAGAGGTCCACGGGGCGATGGTAATTGGCCCCGATCCAGAACAACGAATTAAGCGTGGCGTCATCCAACGCCGTCATCACGGCGAGCCCGCAGAATTCCCGGGTGAATTCTACAAATGGGAGATCCTTGCGGGCTAGGGCGGCAAATCTTGCGGCGGTTTCCATGATCACACAGGGAACGGGAAAAGAAAAACTTTCAAAAAACGGAAGAAAAAAAACGGGGAGAAGGGGCGCCGCTTACTGTTCGGTTTGGTGTTCTGTCACGATCTGCTACTGTGTTGGAGCGAGGAGACACGGAGACGTGGGAGAATTTCACGATGAACAGACTTTATTGAACCACAAGGAAGGAACACACACATAGCACGGGGAATTGGCATTTAACACCGAACGCAGAACACAGGAAAACACAGGGCTTAAGAAACAGGAAATCAACGAGGTAATTACTAAGACACACCTGAACCAAATGGACACAATCAAACACGGGAGAAACTGGGTCACAGGGAGAACATGAGGAGCAAAACACAAGAGAGGAGCACAGGGGCAGTCCAAGGGCGTGACGATTATTGCATACTGTTTTATAATTTACTACAATACTGAGGTGCAGATAACTGCCACTATTTGCAATAAGTAGTATAAATAGCAGAAAATCCTGCTATTTTATCATAGTGTAAATAGAATCTATAGCTATTTGCACTTAGTGTAATAGCATATCGCTAGAAAATACTTCTATTTTCACTTAGTGTAAATAGCATCTATTTCTGTTTGCACTTAATAGTTTCAATTGGTATTTAGACTTAGTGCAAATAGCCGCTGCCTTTAATTTTTGTGTCATATTACTTTATTTTAACGTAAATTTCTATTCATGTAATAAAATATGACATTATTTATTTCATTTAATGGAAATTAACTTGCAATTATTTAATTCAGCTATTTTCCTAATTTAACTTGGATTAATTATTTAATTTAGATATCAACCAAATTATTTAATTTAGCTGTTGTTCTAATTATTTAATTTAGCTTTTTCCCTAGTTATTACATTTAGGATTTGTCCCAATTAGGGCTGTGAATCTTTGAGTAGACAGCGATTCGATTCACGATTCATAGGTTTTCGATTAGATTTTTGCAAATTCAGAACAATTCAATTCGATTTGATTCACAATTAAATTAGATTCGATTCGATTAACGATTCGATTCTGCATTCTCTGCACAGAATAAGGTAGAAAATATACTTTGTAGTTTCTGTACTGTAATAAATGATATGTCAATTAGCACTGCATCATTCATTTTATTGTGTTAACGTTTCAGTTCATTCTGCTTTTTATTCAGTTTAGCTGCAGATATAGCTGTATTATGTGTCTTATGTTCTATGGGCGCGAGATCCCTTCTCTTTCAGTGCAAAAACTTCTTTATCTCATTTTCATAAAATAAAATGCTATAGTATTTAACTTTTCCTCTCCATCGGCGAATGATGATTCTGAAAACGTGCCTGATGTCTGTTTGCTATAGCAACGAGCGCTACTTTCATGCATCTGATTATCAGACAAACCTTACATTTTTGGTCCGTCGTCCATGCAATAAATGCGCAACCTTCGACTGCACAGGTAATGTCGTCGATATGACCGAGAGCCATTGAAAAACTACAGAAAAGTAAAACTAATTTCACTTTAGCATTACTGGCCATGAGTACTAAGGAGAGATCACACATCAGCTGCTCAAAAAATGTGTCAGTGAGACGAACTGAGCGCGAGCGCAATCCTGTGACAGTCACTGCAGGCGGTAAATAGTGGAGCGCGTGAAGGAGAGATGCGAGGCACGAACACTGTTCGGAGGTCTCCATTAATTCGTGCTTGTAGTAATTTAATGTGTATATATTTTCAAAGCATTGAATCGCTATAGAAATCGCGATTCATTCGATTCTTAGTGTTTTAAATCGATTACTGTCTGAAATCGGCGATTCACGATTCAAAAATCCATGTTTCAGGATCGATTGCATCATCAGGGTTTGTAATCGATGCATCGAGAAAACGAGTGAATCGTTACACCCCTAGTCCCAATTTTTTATTTTAGCTATTTTTTCATTATTTAATTTAGCTTCTGTCCATATTTATTTAATTCAGCTATTATTTAATTCAACTAATGTCATAATTATTAAATTTAGTTTTCTAATTATTTAATTTAGCTATTGTCCAGATTATTTAATGTAGCTACTGTTTAAATCACAGGTTTTTAGCAGTATAGTAGGGAAGTTACCTGTATGTTGAGGCCTGGCTCTTGGCAGGTAACAGCATTTTGTGCCTCTGCCAAAGCAATTATCACGAATGCGGTCAGAGACACTCTGGATTCAGAGCCGCAGAGGCCTCCCTGTATCACAACACAACGTACATAAGACACGTGTAAATACTGTACCCTTTCATTGATTGTTATGCAACTACTCCAATTAATCCAACCACAGTTATGAACTCTCACCGTCATACTGGTGTCGTAGACAGGATTGTCCTCCTGAAAGGATCCATCAGGACGCTGTTTATTCTTGAGCAGGTACACCAGAGGGCCACACAGATGCTTCTCATTGACGCTAATAAATGATTTTGCCATGGAGAAAACCTTCACCACGTATGCAGTGATCCTGAGATGGACAGAACATAAACAGATGAACTCTACAGGGGAATGTAGACTTTTAAATTAAATGTTCCCTCCTGGTGGAATTACCTGCCCAACTCAATCCGAGCAGCTGAGTCCTTAGCCATCTTCAAGAATCGGCTAAAAACACATCTCTTCCATCTTTATTTGACCCTCTAACTCTAGCACTCTCTATACTAATTCTATTCTTTAAAAAAACACTTTTCCCTTTTAGACTTGCACTCTATTCATTTGCTGCTTCTTTTCTTTAAAAAAAAAAACTTTAAAAAACAAACAAACACTTGCTTTCTAATCTTTTTGTATTCTATCTGTTTTCTTTTCATTTATTATACAATTAACAAAAGCAAAAAAGACCTCTAACACTAGCTTGCTCTATTATTTTTTCTATTCTATCCGTTTACTTTTTATTTATTATATTATTTTAAAAACCCTTGCTACGTGTACTGCGTTAAGCTAACTGAGACTTGTTATAGCACTTGTATATCATTGCTCTTTTGTTGATTTTGATTGCTTCCATTGTCCTCATTTGTAAGTCGCTTTGGATAAAAGCATCTGCTAAATGACTAAATGTAAATGTAAATGTAAATATAAATGTAATGTAAGTGTAAATGTTCAAAGTGAAGCTGTAATCAGTGATGTGCCGGCATTAATACCATGTGCTGGTGCCTTCTTTGGCGTAGGGAGGGTACGAGTCATCCTTTTTCCGGTAATTAAGTTGATTTTCATACCCTGAGTATGAAAAAAGTTAAAAGACTATTTATTTTGTCAATATCTAAAGTAATTGTGATGTTCATCCCTATTTGAGTTTCATTGCACCTGTCTGGATGTATTTGATGGCCCCTTGTCTGCGATCTATTCCCACAGTGTCCCAGTTTCCACTGCGGTCCAGGTAATGGGCGGCAATGAGGGGCAGCGTGATTCTGGCCAGGTTCTGCTCCACACACCCGCCGGGCATCCGGATCAACGCTGCCAGAGAGTCCTCCTTAATAGAATTATCAATGCTGTCTGCCAGCAAATCACCTGAAGAAATGACATTTAAAAAACAAACTGAGAAATTCTTGACAGTCGACATATTAACATGACAATCAAATATCCATAATGTAATTGAGGGATAATACTCAATTACTATGATGTTATGAATATGGCTTAGTAAAATGTCAAACCTCTGACATTGACAAATGTCTCCGGCAGAGATTTTGGCACAACGGCGTCCAACTGCATCTTCTCCACTTCTATCTGCTGTCTACCAGCTGAGATGAGGAAAACAACAACAAATATATAAACAAATATATATAACAAAATAAATATAAAAATTCCCCAGTGTTGGCTTGTTTTAAGAGGTCTCTAAGGACTTAACCTTTTAAATATGCAAATTTTTGTTGGTTTTCAATTTATATTTGTATTATTGTACTGTATTTTATGTTTTATTATAAGATTCTTTGTACTTTGTGCTTTTGAGTTTGAGAAAAGCACTTTATAAATTAAATGCATTATTATTATTATTACTATACATAATACAAATTATAACACATAGCATTTTATGCATACGTTTTATATGCATGTTTTTTTAAATGCATAAAAGTTTTATTTAATGTATAGTTTTCATGCATCAAGTCCCATATGAAATGTGTAAAACTCTGAAAAAAGTGTGAAATGTAATATCACAAAGATAATTTTTGTATATATTTCTATTATATTTCATTATATATCATTTTCATGCATAAAGACCCATTTATATTGTGTAAAACTGTTAAAAATTTAAAAAAGCATAAAGTGTTATATTACAATGGCAAGACCAAGACCTTGATTCTTAAATTGCCATTACATTAATCACAATTAAAGCAACATTTCCAGCCAGTCTTACCGCTGTCTCCTTTCTCAGAGGGGTTCAGCACAAAGCTCCTCACTTTAATTGTCTGGATGCCTTCGACCTAAAACACAAGATTTATCGTCATATACCATTACCACACAGTTATTGCACCAACTTAATTTTAAAAAACACACAACATGCACCAAGCAACATATCTAATATAATATATTTTCAATATTATGCGTGAGGCGTGAGAGAGAGCAGGTTTTAGGAGCTCACTTACTACCACACGCAGATTCTTCCTCACTGCATCCTGCCCCATGAAGGAGGCTGCGACGGCTGTGACCTGTAGAGGGAGCTCTCCTGTTTTAAGAGGGATGATGGTGTAGGAAATCAACTTGGTGGAGCCGGCCGGTACCGAAACCTGCTGTCTGTGCTGTCTGCTAAATGCTATGCTGCACATGTCCTCTGTCTTCTCCAGAATCACCATGACCTGCAAACACAGTGTTTAGGTCAGGACATGAATAAACTAAAGCAACGTTGCGTCGCTTTGGCGCTTATGGGGAAACTCCTGTTTACTCTGTTACTAAAGCCTGATTTGTTCACATTTGTGTAGCTACCCAAACCAATTGCACTCTAACCCACCAGAAGGTGAGGAGCCAATATCTCTATAATAAGTCGGCTCAGAGCGCCATTTTATGATTCGCCGGTGTGCTTAACACATGAGGATCAACGCCCCTCGTCAGCTGCGAGCGGCTTGATATCCTTCGCACCTTCTGAGGAGGAGATCGCTGCTGACACATTCTGGCAAAGGCTGTGGAGGATCTCGTCCTCGCTTGGTCGGCTCCGGAAGAGCCCGCCCATAGCCTCCTTGACGAGTAGTACCTGAAGGAACGCCATAAACAATCCTCCCACCATCGGCCTTCTCCGTTCCTGCTCGGCCTGTGTTAATCCCTCTTCTTCTACCGCTCTCACCACTGTTGACAGCGCTGAAGAGAGAGGTCATAGCAAGCTCCTCCCTCTGGAAGTGGCGGTAGCTGCTCATCTGTGCCCTCCATCGGCCCTGGGGTTGAAAGCCCATGCAGCGCATCCGTCTAAGCCCTGCAGGACTACATCAGCTGGTGCTGGAGTGCCACCTTTGGCTAAATGTAACAGAGATCAGGGATGCTAACGAGGTCAGCCTCATTTGTTCTGACCAACCTCTTATTTCTACTCTTTCCACTTTTAAACTTCTGAGCACAGAGGAAGTAGTCAATTGTATTCACAAATCTAAATCTACTATTTGTCGCTTGGATCCTATTCCAACGTACTTGGTGTAGCAAATTAGCTCATAAGGGAAATGTATATAAATAATTACAATTAATTATGATTAATTACAATTATTTAGATCAGCTGCCAGTAGTAACTGTAGCAGAATTAAATTGCCATCAACTAATCGGTCCGTCCAGTGAACATTCAGTGTAAGTTCATATCAACTCTAAGAAAGGATATTTTCGTGGCCACAGAAAATATCCTTCCTACAGTATTAATGCATTAGAGTACATAGCTGGATCAGAATCGTAAAGGGACATTATTCACAAGCAGGACCAGAAACTCATGTAATTTGTGCACAAGAGCTTTATTAACTAAACACTACCTCAAACTAGTCTAACAAACAAACAAACATTCATACACTCATGCGTACATACAAAGGATAGCAAAGTGGATGAAAGAAATCATCAGAGGTCACTGAAATGAGGCCTTTTAAGTTCTGTGGAGGTCACACCTCTCGAGGGTCAAAGAGCCAATGGTGACTTGCACTTTTGGAGGGAAAATTTACGACTCTTTGTCTCCGAACGTGGTAATTTGCATATGCAACTGGATTGGATGTTGATGCAAAGACTACTAAAGATTCTTAGAACACTAATATGTTGCATAAGTATCAATATATAATATAAACTCTCAATTAAGATCATCCGAAGATGAATTCATAGAGACCAAACATGGTATAGGCAAGG